CACACACACACACACACACACACACACACACACACACATGAGAATCCGCAGACACACACACAGCCATGCAGGCGGGAGCTGGGGGAAATGTCATCATTCCTCCCCCTATCCACGTGTATTTGTGTGTGAGAGAGACAGGGATGCGAAACAGCTTCTGGCCATGTGAATAACCTCTGCGAAATTTTACTCGTGCATAACCTAAAATTTGGCCAGTCCACTCTGGTCCCCGGTATGTCCATGATTTGCAGAGACCAGTAGTTGGGTATAGCTGCAATTTGCAGGTTCCGGCCACGGACCAGGGATGCAAACAATTTCTACTGAGGATTTCGCAGGTAGGCATGCAAGATGGGCACTGTGACTGGGTCTACAGATTCTACCGGCAACGTCCATCTTTAAACAGGGAATGGAAATGTGTGGTGTTAGCCACTTTGGCCGAAGGGTGGGTGTTTTTCACTGTTGTACCAAGTATTTCCCAGGTGTGCATGCAAATGTCCATCTATAAACAGGGAACGGAGTCAATATTCCCTCTCTCTGCTTTTACCAACAATTGCATGGTAGTGTCAGCCACTTTGGCTGATGGGTGTGATGGATGCCGTGTTTTTCACATCTGCACCGCTCTGGCAGTCTTCAAACTCATGACCTGTTTAACAACAGCTACATGCGTAGTGTCAGCCACACTACCTTTGTGATTGTGCTCATGTCTCATGCTGATCTGATTCTCAAGCACAGTATCTTCCAAATTTTAAGGGATACCTGGAGGCACCCCATTGGAGGAAAATCGCTTACTCCGGGGGTGCTGTTTGGGATTGAACTGCTGCCAGATTGCTTCATTACAAGACAAACTGCATCGCCAGAGGGAAATCAAGGCGGCTTTGGAGAGTAACATAGGTGCAGCCGTAATGAATGGGGGCAACATAGACAGCAGGGTACGTGCATGGCTTTCACACTTGCTTCTGTTTTTCTCAACATCAGGCCACAGCCAGTTGTGGAAAAAAGTGCATTGTTGCTTTTAAACGTCTGCTCCCTGTTGCATGGGTAGTGTCCAGGAATGAGAAACTGGCAATCTCGCTTTTTTCGTTTCTTTTTCCAAATGGCAGTAGCCCCTAACTTTATTCTGTTCATATGGTTCAGATCAGGATTCGAACTGATGGTCTGTTTACTAACATTTATGTGTGTACCATTCAGTCTCGTGAAGGTGCAAATTCCGGTCTATCCCGACGGCCCGCGCTACACTCTTCCGGCTACTTCCTGTGTCGCCACCTCTCTCACTCACTCTCGCTCTCTCTCGTCCGTCCCTCTCGCTGTCTCGAGGCTGGTGTGTCATCACGCGTGACTCTCTCTCTCTCTCTCTCTCTCTCTCTCTCTCTCTCTCTCCCCCCCCCCCCCCCCCCCCCCCCCCCCCCCCCCCCCCCCCCCCCTTCCCGTTTTCTCTGTCCTTGTCATGCCTTTTGAGCTGTAGGCGATAATGAGGGTGGTGAAGCAGTGTGTGCACCATGATGAATACCTTGAATGGCGAACTCATGGTATCTGTCTGAGCAATAAACATTTGCCTCGGTACGACACAATATCCCAAGGTAAGTCTCCTTGCCTGCTCTTATCCTGTCAACAAACCTTGAATGACAAGCACTGGGTTCGAACTCATGGTATTAGTCTGAGCAATAAACATTTGCCTCATGGAAGTAGGGTCCAAGGTTTTCTAATGCTATGATCCTGTCAATTTCATGTTGCAGAAGTCAAATTTGAGACAATGCCATGCATCGTAACTAGGAGAGAAGTTGAATACAGGAAAGAAGAACTAGAAGAACTAGAAGAAGAAGAAGAAGAAGAAGCACACAAGTTGGAACCAATGTCATGTCCTCCATATCTCGCCACCATAATCTCTCCCTTGTTACATTAGTAATGATTCAATGAAATAAGTGGACAAAACTCAATGTCCAGAAGTGTTCTGAGTTGGCGCACACAACCTCTCTCCCCTACTTGGTATGGCTACTAGCTATGGCGGTGCAGCCGGAGCTAACTCGGATGTTCAAAATAGAATGCAGAACTACTCTTCATGCCCTCTTCTCTCTACCACAGCCATGCCTGTCTTCTGGATGAAGTCCATGTACAACAGGTACCCCAATAGGGACCTTCTTGATGCAGCGCCAACCAGGAAGACAAGATGTGAGTTCACCCTTGCCAGTTCCCACCTCCTTCATCCTCCAACCTCATCCTCCAACCTGTTTTCACCACCATACCCGCTTTGAATGTCTCTCCAGTGCCTAGGGCTTCTCCTACCTCTCCTCCACCTTCACAATCAGGACCTCCGCCAACATCTCCCTCTGGGCAGAGCAGCAGCATGACTGCTTGGTGAAATGAGCGGAGTGCCTGTTGCACTCTTGGCTGGCTGGCCTGTAGTGCCTCTTGGCCGGGGACTACCTGCCTCCTCGGCCTCCCTTGGTGCACTGGGCCTACCTGGCGCTTCCTTGTTTTGGCGGGAACAGGATTACGGACTGATGTTTACATGCAGTCTAAAGTCTACACCATTATTACTTATTGGACATTACCAGACCTGTCCCCTCCCCCGGAACCCTACCTCCCTGCCTAGTGCTCTAGAAACTAATCTGTGTGTGTGCTGTTTGCTATCTGTCCTTTGCTACTTCACACTTTCAGCTCCAGGAAGATTTGGCTGAAATAAGTGAGCTCGAAGCTGATGTTGCAAGGTTGAAGTCGAGAGTTGCTGAACTCCAGGAGCTGATGGAGCACGAAAGGTTGGGAAGGCACATGAACTCGACAGAGAGGCAGGAGCGGAAGATTTCGCTGATGAAGTTGAGGTGAGTCTTACATCTGTAGCCAGCAGCCTTGCATTGTAGGTGTCTGTCAAATTGCAGGATTACAGAAGGATGATCACACAGGCTAATACATGGATGCACACCTTTGGGTATATTCCTATGCATGTCCCAAACTTGGCACGGTGCACCAAAAATATCGAAATAAGCTGGGTTAATTTTCTGTGGGCATCGCTCCCAGACACACGCTCTACCTCCCAGCTGGCCAGCAGCCCCGCTCAGGGTCCTGTGTAGCCCCGATGCAAAATAAAAAAGCTTCGAAAGCAAGTAAAAAGGTCTGGGAAAATAATATGTCTGTGCAGCATTGCAACGACTTTTGTCTGAGGGTTGTCTCAAAATCCTATACTGAGTTGGAAGCGATAAAGGGAAATTAAAAAATCAAACTGAGGCACCCTTTTTTCAAGTTTTTAGACCCCTTTAAAGTTTAAACCCCTTTACACCCATTTATACACCCCTCCCTGCCACCCAACTGACATTTCTGGAAAACAGGAGAAGGATTTAACCACTCGACGCACTCGTGTAAAAACAAAAAAGAATGAGAAAAGGAAATCCTGGAGGGTAGTGTTTTTTTTTTTCGTTTAGCCGCGGGCGGCTTTGGTTGGCCCCGCCGTAAACGACCAGAAAAAGAGAAAAGGGCGTCCACCCACCCTCCCACGCCCGCCCGCCCGCCCATCCACACTCACCCACTCACTCACCCACGCACGCTTGCTGCTCGCTCGCTCGCTTGCCCGCCTGCCCGCCCGCTTGGGCTGACTCGTAGGCAGACCCGTCGGCGGTCGGCAGACTGCCTTGCAATTTTATATATTTTTTTCTGATTACATGGTCGTGCTTTTGAGGAGAGCAGCCCAAACCCGCGATAAACTTTTTTGGGGCTGGTGGGGGTTATAGGGGGTTTATAGGGGGAGGTAGAGGGGGGTTATAGGGGAGTTGTAGGGTGTTAAAAGGGGGGGTATGAGGGTGTTAGCGGGCGGTATGGGGGTGTTGGGGGGGGCTATATGGAGGTGTTGTCACTTGGTTACTAGTTGTCTCAGCAGCACTTCCACACCCTTGGGCATGAATGAATGACGGCAACAGCGGCTGTTTTTCATATGCGATGAATCAGCTTTTAACCCTTGGACATGCAGACGACGTCGACGTGGTACCTTCCCGGCGTGGGCCTCTCGGCCTGTGATGTTTCTGGATCATTCATCGGCCTACCTGGTACCCTGGGCCGCAGCTAACTCGACTGGACCAGACTAGATCCGACCGGCCTACCTGATCCGATGTTTGCTGGAACCGAACGGAGTGGACTAAGCTGGTCCCACCTAGCCTACTGGACCCTATGCTACCAGAATTCTACCTGGGACCAGATTGACCAACTACAGGAGCCCTTCTTGGACCCTTTGATCTCACAGCGCTTGACGTCAGAATTTTATGCTTTCGTGAGTCCTTGCCCTTTTTTTGACCCACCCGGTTTTCTCTGAGCAGTTGCCCCTGTGCTACCCTGCATTGCAATAATGTCCGCTTCACTTAAGAAGATTCGATTTTCTGATTTGTTGCTGGGTTTTCTGGTGGAATCAGTGCTGTGCCCAGGCGACACATGATGCGGGACGACCTGAAAAAGTCACTTTGTTGTGCAGTTTGCCTCCCCCACCCCCTTCATGTACCCCGGCCCCGAACCAAACCCTACCAGAAGCACAAAACACACACAGGAATATGACCAAACCCACAAACGCACCGGTTTTTTTTTTTTTTTTTTTTTTTTTTTTTTTTTGGGTGGAGGGGAATATAGTGAACATGACAACAGACGGACAACCACAAAAATGGCGTCGCATATGAAAACACTCGCATGACATGTGTGGGCACTTTCATGCTGTTTGTCTTGTACATCGAGCATGATAAAACTCTCACAAGAGTGAGAGAAGCATTCTACAGAGCAGAATGTTGTGCAGGCCGATGGTGCTCAGAGGTGCACGCTTGCGAGAGAGAGAGAGAGAGAGAGAACGGTTCTACGGAGTGGAATCTCGTGCAGACTGAGGGTGTTCTCCAGGTGGACTAAATCTTGAATAGGATCTGAAAAAACTCCACTATTAATGTCTCTGGAACGTCCTTTGTATAACTTGTGTTGACTCGAATAGGGCGCAGCTTGAAGAGGAGCTGGAGCGAACAATGGCATTGTGCAACGAGGAGAAAGCTAAAAATGCGCAGGTCAGCCTGTTTGATTGCTTGCGTCGTAAGCCAGGATCTGCTTCTGGTCTGTGATTTCCTTTATTTTCCACTTCATCTTGAGAAGGCAAGTAAGTGCACACGTGCAGATGTCACTTGCCTAAGTCTTGTGGTAATTTCTAGCCAGACATTTATCATTTGTGCAGCAAGCTAATCTGTGTGTTTCGGACTGTCACCAGAACAACCCCTTTTCCACCCACATGAGTAGATCCAACATTTGAAACAATTGTGTGTGTGTGTGTGTTGGGGAGGGGGTAACACATCTGCTATCGTACTGCGGCATGTTGAGTCAAACAGTATGTCAAATGAACAGCGCTCAGCCCGGGCCTGCCCATGGAAGGAATTGAAACAATGTCATGCAAAGGCCACCGAGCACGGAAAGAGGACCGACAAGAAAAGCATCAGTAGTAAATACTAAATACACAGAAAAAAAAAAACAAGGAAGAGAACAAAAAAGTTGAAAAACCCAGAAGGATGGTGACAGAGTGTTTTGTCGGACATGCACCAACTCGTCAAGAGGCTGAACCCTCAACAATTTGCGGAATTCCCACATTGATGCTTTGAGGCATGAACTCTTTAACCCCTTTTGTAAGCGGACAAACAGCAGGGCAAGCAGCAAGGCAAAGGTGGTGGATGACAAGCAGCAGCAAAGGACATAGGTTGGAGTGCACGAGGTAGGCGGGCAGGCAGAAACAGCACAGGCAGCAAGATGAAGGGTGGCGAACAAAAAGGCAGCCAAGCAACTAGGCAAGCAGCACGGAAAAACAAGGCAGCGTGGCAAATGGCAGCATCAAGGCCAAAGGCAGGGAGGCTAGAAACAGGCAGCATTTTTACCAGCCAAACGACTCGGAAAACACTGCAGAAAAGGCAAACAGATGGGCGGCAGGCAGAGGAGCAGCACAGTCGAAGCAGTCCACACAACCAACATGGACCAAAGCAGCCCATCACCTACTCACACCACAATAGAAAACCGCAGAGGTTACCAGCACCCAGGAAGCTTCTTCGATGGAAATCTGTCACTACCCATGGAACACACAGGCACAGGCCTCTCGAATTCGGCCGCCCCTCTAATAGTGTTGCAGGGACTCCAAATCAATACAACATAGCTTTTAGTTGGGCCGGGGGGTACACTCCTCACCTATTTCTTGCTTTTCTTTCCGTCTCAGCCTTTGGATTTTCAAGTGGGTGGTCGCAGTCGTTGTAGAGCTCAATTTCTAATGACATGTGGCCGATTAGAATGTGGACGCATAATTGTTTTTGCCTCTCCTTGCTTCACAGTCATCTGGACGAAGGATGTGAACTGTTGCTATCAAATGGGGTTGCCTTAACTCGTGCTGCTAGTCACACTTCCGCTCACCAAGTGTGCAAAATGAGAATGAACTCCACGTTACAACGTGGAAAGATGCACCGCCGAGGGTGTGCGTGGTGAGCAGGGGAGGGAGCCCTGTCAGCCCTTGTGAGAACCGAGGCCAAAGGTGGCTCCGCCCCAACCAGTGGTGGCAGAAGAGTCCTGCCTTTTGCTCTGGGTGGCTTCCCTTTTTCGGTGGTGCAGGGCCGCACGAAAAAGAGAAGGCCGACACAACCGCACCAAAATTCCATCTGTGAGAAAAAACGAAATGGGAGGCCACATGTGACAAACGGGCCTGAGAAGTTGGTACACTATGGACTGTTGGAGTACAAGCTCGAGCTTGAGCACAAGCTAGGCGTTGCGTGTGGCCTCCCATGAAAAGAAACGCTCACCAATAGGACACACATGAACTCTCCAAATACCGAGCAGGTAGGAAGATGGCCCAGGATTGTGTGTGTGTGTGTGTGTGTGTGTGTGTGTGTGTGTGTGTGTGTGTGTGTGTGTGTGTGTACAATCAAGGATTGTGTGTGTGTGTGTGTGTGTGTGTGTGTGTGTGTGTACAATCAATTCACGGCAAGTAGTATTGACTTACATCTGCGAGACTCCCACATACAAGGTGTGTGTGTGTGTGTGTGTGTGTGCGTGTGTGTGTGTGTGTGTGTGTGCGTGTTTGCATCACATCCCATGGCCTATCCACCATCCGCCCCATATCATTCATGGTACACTCAGCGTGGCCGTAACCAAACGGATGCTGTATGCTGCCACTCTACTTCTCATGAAACTCCCCCGTCCATTTGTGGCTTGCCATGACCAGCTTTTGAGAGTCAAGAACAGACATGCCAGAGGGAGTGGGGGAGATGGGAGGGCAGACGACACCCAAATCCACCAAGCAAGGAAACCCCAAAAAAAACAAAAGAAAAAGAGTAGTCCCAAACAAGTTTGTGTACGAGTGTGTGTGTGTGTGTGTGTGTGTGTGTGTGTGTGTGTGTGTGTGTGCACGCTCTGAATTCACGACAAGTAATTTGAACTTGCACAAATTGGCATCCGCAATCATAAAAAGGAAAGATATCGAGTCGTGCATCGGAGATGATCGGTGAGACCATGGACCAGAATCAAGAAACCGTACAAATATTAACAAGCACTCTGCTCTGCCAGATGCAATGAGGAGAAGAAAACGACACAAGGAGACGACGGAAAAAGAGGAAAAGTGACACTGTTTTGTTGGATTCTCACCGGCTCATCAGGAGGCTGAAATCTCAGAGTCTTTACTCCTGATATTGATGCTTCATAAACTTCTTTGACCCATTTTGCAAGTCTTCAGCCAGGCAGGAGACAATGAAGGCAGCAAGCAAGGGCTAGGCAACAAGTCACCAGACAGGAAGCAACAATAAATCAGATGTGCTGGAGGGTATGAGGTCCACACCACCATCATAGTCAAGGAGGGGCACTTGGACGAATGTCATCTCGTAGGGAATATAGGCAAACGCATCCCGGACACAGCAGTCCCCCTAGTAGTGTTGCAGGCACTCTGAAGAAACAAGCATTGGCAATTTGGCACATCCGAAAGGCTTGCACTTGAACACCAAAGGGAAGCACAGGAAAAAACGGAAGGGACACAGAAGCAAACAGGTGTTGCGAATGCGTGTGTGTGCTCGTGTGCATGCGCGTTCGCACGATTGCTCCCCACCAATTTGTCCATCAAGCCATCCATCTGTCCACCCACCCACTGCCGGCCGACACGGCCGACTGTCCTTTTCCATCTTAGTGGCACAGGAACTCTCAGACTTATCCTAGGGTCAGGCCCCAGTGGTGCTATGTCCATGCTTGGAAAGGATGCACCTGGTCATATCATGGTCATGTTTGTGCTTTGTCAGCATGAACAGGGCAGCAGTGGAGCCCGGCCCATACTGGCATTGACAGCCAGACAGCAGATGCTGAAGAAGTTATCGTGTTCAAACCCACAGATGCAGTATTTGTCTGTGCCACTCTTTGTATCAGGTAGTGTGCTTTGTCAGCCCGTACTGCTGTGCAATGAGTCCGTTGTGATCTCTGATGAATGTGTTTGGATCATGTGCCATGTTTCACCTGTCCACCATGCAGTTTGAGGAGCAGTATCATCAGGAGGAGGAGGCAGCCCTAGAGAGGCTGGTCATTCAGCAGAGGCAGGCGCTGTCAGAAGCCCAGGTGAGTGAGCGAAGTGCTGTTCCTGGACGAACGGAGACAGACGGCAAGGAGAAGCACGGGACATCTCATAACGCCTTGACGGTAGCAGCAGTCTTTGTTTCTCTGTTCAAAAAGAAGCTCCTGGTGGCCAACAATGCCAAATAACTACCAGGCTACCAGCAGGACAGGGCAGGGTAGCACAGTAAATTTTGTTCTCTGTTCAAACTGAAGCTCGCGGTGGTCATGAGTCTCTCAGAACTGGGAGCATTGCGGGGCAGGGAAGATGACTCTCTCTCTCTCTCTCTCTCTCTCTCTCTCTCTCTCTCTCTCTCTCTCTCTCTCTCTCTGCATCTGTGTGTGTCCAAAAATAAGTTCCAGGTGGATGATTCTCGCAAATAACTTGCAGGAGGGCTTTGCTGGACGGGAGGCGCAAATAAATCTGACGGTGACTGCTCGAGTTGCTCTCATGTCTTTGCCACCTGGGACTTTGGTGGGAATGGGCTGCAGCGAGTGGCCCCTGCTCTAGCAATTTTGAATAACTAGCACAAGGGCAGGGTGTGACGGGCTAGAGTAAGCCAGAGCTGGCAGGCCCGGGGGTCCACACAATCGAGAGGGTGACTCTTGTTTCCAGCTCTTTGCTATCCGTCCAATTTTTGGATCACTGAAACGTCACGTGTTCTGACAGGATCGTCTTGTGCGCTTAGTGGAGACTACCCATAGCACTCTGTATTATCAAAAGCTTGCTGTGCTAGGTTACCACAGGTGCGGCAGGTCCACGACCACATCTTTTGATCATCTTCATCAGTAGTGTTTCCTTCATCACTTCTTTGAATTTCGACCGTCTGTTCCTTGGGCAGGTCAGTGGCCGGGGCATCATGTGTCCGTGCCTGTACATGTAGCGGAGGGTAGCGGTGAAATCACCTATACGGGTGCAGGACTAGAAGGCTTTATTTTCTTGCCTTGTGAATTAGAGTCGCAATATGCAGGACTGTGAAACTGCACTTTTTTCAGTTGTTATTTGCGACCGAAGCGGCGCAGTACGTTGTTAACTGGCTATCGTGTTGACAACAGCATTGGTTCTCAGAATCAGAATGTATTTTTACTGGTGCATGTGTCTTGGTGCCCATTCCAGCGAGAGCTGGAAGATGCAAGCACACATGGCCTGCAGGAAAAGCAGGAGGGAGAAGGGGGGATGAGGAGGGTCGGCGGAATAGGGAGGGAGACGAGTGACAAAACGAAGGCCAAAAACGGAGGGAGGGGGAGAGAGAGAGAGAGAATTGGTAACCGGAAATCCCTGAATGTGTTGAGGGAGAGGAAAC